AACACAAGTAATGTTTAAAGTTTCCAATTGCTCTGCATTGTTGCTAATATTTGTTATCTTTAATTTTCTTGATTATAACCATTTTAGAGTTTGTGAAGTAGTTGTTGCATTGTGGTTTTAATTTGCATTTCCACCATATCTTTTCATCTGCTCATGGACCATTTGTGTGTCTTGTGTGGAGAAGGGTCTATTTAAGTTCTTGGGCCATATTTAAAATTGGATTGTTTTTCTTTGTTGAAGAGTTATAAAACTCTCGATACATACTGGATAAACACTCATCAGATATATAATGTAGAAATATTTTCTCCCATTGTGTGGGCTGTCTTTTCACTTTCCGAATTGCATCTTTTGATGCACAAAGGTTTTTAATTTTAAATTCATTTTTCTCCTTTTGTTGCTTGTGCTTTGCTATCAGACCTAAGAAATCATTGCTATTTTCAAGGTTATGAAGATTTCTCCCATGTTTTATTGGAGAGTTTGCACTGTCATCCCTCAGCATCCCTAGGGGACTGGTTTCATAACATCCCATGGATGCCAAAATCTGCAGATGCTCAAGTCTTTAGGGTCCAGTTTCATACCTCTGCATGTGGATAGCTTATTGCCTACCACCCTTTGTTGAAAACACCATTTTCTCCCAATTTAATGCTGTTGATTGTTGTCTAAAATCAGTTCTCATTGATGGGTGGTCGTATTTTTAGGATCACCATTCAATACCATTTATCTTTGTGTATATCTTGATTCCAGTGTCCCAGTGTTTTATTTACTCTTGTGTACTATTGCAGTTGGGAAGTGTGAGCCACCAAACTTGTTTTTCATTTTTCAAATAGTTTTAGGTCTTTGGAGTTTTTTAAATTCCATATTGTGGGGTGTTCTATTGTGCTCCCCTTCACATGGATGTCCCCCAATTTGCTTACACAGTCACCTACTGAAGACATCCTGAATCCTTTAAGGTCTAGACACTAGGAGTGGGGCTTCTGAGCACAATAGCATCCTTGTTTTTCTTTGGATATAGTTTTTCAAAACCGTGGTGTAAAATCTGGAGGCATGATTGATGCATCTCAAGGTGTGAGACTTGTTTAGCGTTGGAAAATACTTCCCAACTGTACTTCAGGAGGCTGTCTGTGTGTTCCACCAGCAATGAGGGCAAGTTGCTGTTGTTCCCCATCCTCCAGTAATGGGTGTGGTCCCCTTGCGGGGAGGTTAGCAGTTCTAATCAGTGTGTCGTGCTGTCTTGTCCCTTTAATTTGTAACTCCCTAATAGTGTATGATGTTGATGATCTTTTTGTCCACTTGTTTATTATTTGTATATATTCTTTGCCAGGTGTCTGTCCAGATCTTTACCCATTTCGAATGGAGTGGTTGTTTTATAGCTCCATGTATAACTTGAGGACAGATCTTTTATCAGATACGTGTTTTGCAAATAGTTTTCCTCTGATTTGTTGCTTGTCTTTTGGTTTTCTGAATAAGGTTTTTCAATAAATAGAAATTTTTAATTTGATGAAGTACATGTTGTTAGTTTTTTTTTTCTTTTGTGCGTTGGCTTTTTGTGTTGCTGAAAGTCAAAGGTCATCATCTACATGACTAAACCCATGGTCATGTAGATTTTCTTCTGTTTTCTTCTATAATTTTTACAGTTTTGTTTTAGAATTTATCCAAGGATACTTTCAAGTGCCTTTTGGTGTAACTTGTAAAGTTTGTGTCCATCTCCATTTCACTGCATATGATTTCTAACTGTTCAATCGCTATTTTTTGAGAAATCGTAGGACACTTGCTTCCATCAGTTTGAATTTTCACAGTTGAGTGGGTTCAGCAGGGCTGCCAGCAGGCGCCGTGGCCTCCGCTGGACTGTGGGTGGGTGTGGCTCCATTTCCCTGTTTGCCAACAGAGGGGGATGGGCCCACCTCTCTGCCCAGTGCAGCGCCTGCTGGTTCTGCCCACAGACTGGGCTCCCTGCTCAGCTGCCTGGAGCCCCATCTCCTCCAGACCCGCCCAGAATTTGGCTCCGGGACAACGTGGAGCTTGTGTCCACACTGAGAGGAGCTCCGTGTCCTCAGGTTGGGCTGGGAGGTGCTGCCGGGGTGTGAGGAAGGTGAGGAAAAGCTGAAGAGGAGCTTCCTTTGCATGTCTGGATGTGGAGTGTCCATCTTCAGAAGGCCCAACAGAGGAAGGGCTTGATGTGGAAAAACTGGGTTTTAGTTAGTTTTGGGGATGGGGCAAACAACGTCTAGTGTCCTTTGGCTTGTGATGTGCAGTTTTCCAGGCAGTTGATCGAGGGAACTGTCCTTTCCCTGGTGTGGGTCCTTGGCAGCTTTGTCATCAGTTAACTGACCGCTTGTTGGTGGGTGTGCTCCTGGGCTCTCTCGCCTGTTCCTCAGGCCTGTGGGCCTCTTTTTGTGCCGTTTCCACACTATTTGGTGACTGTAGCTTCATGATACGGTTTGAAGTCAGGAGTGAGTTTCCTGCAGCTGCTGTTCTCCTTTCTCTGGCTCCCCTGGTTGTCTGGGGTCCTTTGTGGTTCCTTACAAATGTTAGGGTGGTTTGTTTGGTCTCTGTGGAAAATGCCATTGGAATTTTGGTAGGAATTGCACTGAATGTGTCTAGGTTTTGGGTGGAATGGGCATTTCAGCACTAGTAGTTCTTCACATCCATGAGGACAGGATAGCTTGCCATTTTTTGTGTGTCTTCAATGTCTTCAATGTTTAAAAGTTTCAGTGTGCAGTTCCTTCATGTCTTTGTTTCAATTTATTTTTAGATATTTTGTTCTTTTGACATTTCTGTATGTGGGATTGTTTTCTTAGTTTCTCACTCTGGTGGTTCGTTATTAGTGTATAGGAACAGAAGTGATCTTTGCGTATTGATTTTGTATCCTGCAGCTTGACTGAATTCATTTATTACTCCTAACAGTTTTTTGGTGGTTTGATGTGGAAAACTGGAATTGGAAATACCACTGTTTCTCCCACATCCAGGTCCCAAATAGCACCCGAGACACTGGCTGCTGATGCCGTCTCCCCACAGGGCCCCTGGAAACCCTGCAGGCCCTCCGAGGGCGATGAGCAGTCTGGGGGGGCAGGGCCTCCACCTCTGAGTGTGAGGTCTTTCCTACGTTTCTGTCCTTTTACTGTCACGACTGTTTTGAAAATGAATTTATTTTCCAGTAATTTCAAATGTATAGACAATTTCCAGTAGCAGTACACAGTATTCACGTTTGCCACTTCATACAAAATACTCCAGTGTGTTTTACCCCAAAG